AAATATATATATATATATATATATATATATATGTTGTATGTTGTGGCCTGTGAAATCCAGATGCTCTGACCCGCTGTGTGTGTTCGTGTCTAGGCTGCAGGACAAGGTCCAGGAGACGATTGAAGCTCTGCGACTGGCTGGAATCAAGGTGTGGGTGTTGACCGGTGACAAGCATGAGACGGCGGTTAGCGTGAGCCTCTCCTGCGGTCACTTCCACCGCACCATGAACATCCTGGAGCTCGTGCAGCAGAAATCAGACAACGAGTGCGCCGAGCAGCTCCGCAGACTGGACCGGAGGTAAAACACACCAGTGCACACTTCCTTAGAGATCTCCAGCCCTTTTTAGACTCTCTTTCATGCTGAGTGTCAAGCGATTTTCACCTTCCATGTTGAATGGGAATATAGGACTAAGGGCCAGATTTACTAAACAGGGCAAATACATGTAGAAAAAATCCTCTCTCTTCTACCACGCTCTCTATGTTCTCTGCGGTGCCTCCTCCTAGCAACAACAAATGCAGCCATTTCAAGCGCAAAATAGTTTAAAGGGGTCATGAAATAGATTTTTTTTTTTATTAATTTAATATGTTCTTTGAGGTTTACTTATAATGTTAATAAAGTTTTTTTGCTCAAATATGTAAAAATGATTATTTTCAACCCTCATTCTGAACCTCTCTCTAAAACGACCTGGTTTCAAGGGGTGGGTCTTTAAAGGCTTGTCAGTAATCGGCCACTGTTATGATTGGTTAACGTCATTGCATAGGAAACAGTGTCAGCGCCCCCTCGCTATTGCATGTTTTGAGTGTTTTGACAACATAATCAAAATAAAACGGTCATTTCCAGACAAAGCATTATGAAATAATTTACTTACAATGTGATGCAGCTGCAGTCAGATCTAGTACCGCTTCATCTTTCAACAAATGTTTCTTCGTGAACTCTCCATGACACTGTGCCTCGTTTACAAAACAACATGCTCCGATCAATCCTCAGACACGATCCGGGGTGTCATTAAAAATAAACAATCACTTGTTCCTTACGCTGAGATCTTTCTGATATCTGTACAAAGATGTGAACGAGCCGTTTAAACCAAACGTGTCAAAGCGAACGATCTTTCAGTCCATTTGTCCGATTGACGACAGACTCGAGCGCATGGACTGTGTCAGAAAGTGAACGCGCTTCTCTATTCTGTATCCAGTGTAGACAAGATAGCAGCAGTGATTGTCATTTCTGACGCGACACTCGCATTGATCAAGCGTGAACAAGCCGTTAGCGGCTTAATGCCAGTGGGCGGCGCCTATGTCAATGTGTTGCTCTGAAGGCATTGTATATGCAAACGACTGGGGCTAGGTGACGCCACCTTGCTGCATTGAATCCAAAACGAGTCGTTTTTGGAGCTTGATTAAATAAATGCTTTGTTTATAATGAGGAGGACGTCTTAAGCTATGAAACTTGCAGTACATTTTAATGGAACAAAGACCTCTTATATGCCAAAAGATCAAGGCAATTTTGATTTCTCATGTCATGACCCCTTTAAGACATGCTTTTTTGGGGGCGTTAAATACTTGCACAAATACCAGTAATTTGACGAGCGTAAACGTTAGTAAATCGCGTTGCGTGATTAATTTTAATACTCTCCTCCCATAAACTTTGCATCTGAAAGGGAAACTAATTGTAGGACTAATTGTTTGTGCAGGATCAAGGAGGATCATGTGATCCAGCACGGGCTGGTGGTGGATGGGGCCAGTCTGTCTCTGGCTCTGCGGGAGCATGAGAAACTCTTCATGGAGGTGTGTAAGAACTGCTCGGCGGTGCTCTGCTGCAGAATGGCACCTCTCCAAAAAGCCAAGGTGGGTCACCTTACCCTCCTTGTGTTCAGGTTTCACTCTATCTCCACAAGGTCAGCGGTCACGCACACTAATATGTCCGGTCTCTGCTCAGTCGCCCCACACTGGCCTGTTGTTTTCATAGCGCTGGTGTGTGTTTTGCAGGTGGTGAGACTGTTGAAGACTTCTCCTGAGAAGCCTATTACATTAGCCATTGGAGACGGAGCCAACGATGTCAGTATGATCCAGGAGGCTCACGTTGGTATTGGTAGGTGGACTCAAAGGTGTGGCTTGCGAGTCAAATGTATTGCGATCAAGCTAACCGAATGAACCTCTGTACAGGAATCATGGGCAAAGAAGGAAGACAAGCCGTGAGGAACAGCGACTATGCAATCGCGAGGTTCAAGTTCCTCGCCAAATTGCTGCTTGTACACGGCCATTTCTACTACATTAGAATAGCAACCCTTGTGCAGTACTTTTTCTACAAGGTACGTTGGGAGCTTTTTGTGTGGCTTTCCGGTTGAAGATTTGCGTTTTTATAAAACTCTGTTTTGTTTTCTTGTAGAATGTGTGCTTTATCACTCCCCAGTTTTTATACCAGTTCTTCTGTTTGTTCTCACAGCAAGTAAGTGTCTCTCCCAGTCATCATTTTATGTCATTTTCTGTTGGTTAACACGGCGAATCTGTGTGACCAACTTTAACCCGTTGCAAAATCTTTCACATTCGCTTGAAATACCAGTTCTCAAGGATTCCCATTGAAATGACTGCATTTCACCTGGAAAATTTCGCAAAACAATGGTAAATGTGACCTCACCTTTACTAAGTCACTATTACTACTGCTAATATGTAGGGTTAGTGATTTAAACTCTAAAGTCTTAGTATTAAGTTATTTTACATTTACACTTATGTATTTGGCAGATGCTTTTTTTCCAAAGCTACTTGCAGTGCATTTAAGCTACTTTTTTTATCAACAGCCGGGTTTCCATCCAAAGTTGCGAATTTAACTTATGCGCAAAATTGGAATATCGCATAAAACATTTGCGAACAAGCACTGTTTCCATCCAACGAGTCAGAGAGAACAAAATCGTCACTTCCTGATAAACTGGCACTAAATATCACTAAGAAAAGTAAGAGAAGCCACTGAATATAATAATTCTCAAATATAATAAATTACTTGCGCTTTGAGTGAGCAGGCGAAGCACAATAAATGCGGTCTTGCTTTCGGAGCTGAATGTCAGCTGTTTGGGTACGCAGTCGTGGTAGACCGTTCTGGGAGGCAGTAGAAATACTTTGACGACAGACTTTGCTCGGGCACTTCAGAATGACCATGACAACATTTCAGATGCTGTGCAACTAAATCGGTCCGCTGGTTAGTCAGGTTATGCTGTCCCATAGCGCAAAGTCACATGACTTTTTTGAATGCTCATGCGGGATTTATTTGCAAAATGCGTTTCCATCTTCCATTATTCGCATTAACCCTTTTTCGCACAAGTCAAAAACCACCTCAAGCGAACTTTTTTTGTGAATTAAGGGATTTTTTTTCCGAAATTTGGCGTTTCCATCACTCATTTCTCATGCGATACTTCAAAATGCGTATTAAAACAGGGTGATGGAAACATAGCTATTGTTAGGATTGGAATAAAACCCTTGACATTGGTGTTGCTAGTGCCATGCTGTACTGTTCGAGCTACAGAAAATGTTTAAGCAGTCTGACTCAAAATGACCAATTGGTGGCATTGGAGAAAGGACCTAATCCATATCTAGAGACCAGAAAACCATAGAGTAGTGACCACCTACGGACTTCTGTTGTTCATCAAATTTTTTAAATCCAGTTACTTCAGTAGGAATCCATGGTGTTGTGAATTTCATGTGAGAGTGAAAAAAGTTTTGGAAGAGGTTCAAGTTGGTCAAGAGTTGACCAATAGAATTATTGTCATTATAATGCACATCATTTTTGGCTCGGACTATATACTGAGGTTTTCCAGTCGTTAGATATTTGCTGTTGCGTGTTTTTAGAAATCAGCAGAAGTTGGTTAAGTCTGGTGCATCCACATGTTCTGCAGAGCAAACCAGCACTTTACAGGTGTTTGTCTTTTGAGGAAATTATCTTTTAAATAAAGTCAATATTTCATCATGTCACTATTATTATTAGTTGTTCTTTTTTTTTTTAATATATATTTCTATTTCTTTTAAATTCATCATTAAATATTAACATTATATATAACATTAAATATATATATATAAAAAATTTCCAGCTATTTGCCAAGGTAACATTTATTTTCATTTAGTTTGTTGAAGTACTAAAATAACTAAAACTAAATTATAAACTATGTAGGCATGTTTAAAAGCAAACTAAAATTAATAAAAATGTCAAAAATACACAACAAAATTAAAATGAAAATATAAACAGAAAATAACAAAATATAACAAAATATAAAAATAAGATGTAATACTAAATATTAAGAAAAAACTATAATAGTTTATCAAGCATAATAAAATAGCACTGTTTAGCACTTCATTTTTTTTTATTTCAACATTTCTCTTTTTTAAGCTTTATTTCAATTAATTTCAACTCTTTTAATAGCTTTAGATTACATTAAAGTTTAAGTATTGCAAAAATTAAAAATGTACCTGCACATTTTCTCTATTTCCAATTTAAACCTTCATTTAATATTAGCTGTAATGGGAATTTGAGTTTGTTTTGTTGTTTTCATTCCCCCTTCCAAATCGAAATTAAGTAATATTCTTTCCCTTCTTCAGAGACATCAGTAAAAATTCCCTGCTGTCCTTCAAAACCTTTTTGTACTGGACCTTCCTGGGCTTCTGCCACGCCTTCGTCTTCTTCTTCGGCTCCTACATCCTGATGGGAGAAGACACCACGCTGATGGGAAACGGACAGGTCAGCGCCAGAGAGAGCTTCACCTCGCTCTTCTGTGTGTCTGTGGCATGACAGTTGTCTTTGATATCCTCCACACAGCATTCTGTATAGATCTCAGAGATGCTATCTGAATTATTTAGCTAGAAGCGCTTAAGGTAATGAATGCACTTAGACGTTAATAACCGTTACTTAGCCTTAGTGACTATTGATTAACTCCAGCTTACAGACACGAAGCATCAATCCTCCAACTAATAACATCGTTATCTTACCTTACTGTTGGCTTCTACTACTTATCCATATTCTCTCACTTTTTCTGCTTCTCTCTTTCGCTTTCCTGCTGTGCATGCTCTCAGATTTTGCGAGCTAACAGGCAACTGGTAAGAGTTGACTGGATTCCAGTTGATGCATGTGTCTTTTCTAATGAGCAGCTGTCTCCTTGGTTTGGTTTAGCGGCTCTGATCTTGATTCTTTTGATACTCTGCCATCCTCAATTGCGGGCCTGAGTTACGACAAGATTTGGACACGCTTCCTCACTCGCACTTTGCATGACAGCGGATGGCTTCTGACAAGCCGGAATCGCTCTCTGATATAAAGTGGTTTGGCATCGTTTATTTTGGATGAATTGAAAGCCTCTAGATATTTAGTTCACCCCATACGACATGTGAACAGACTGATGGGCTAGTTTGAAATCTTTTCATACAGTGGTGTTTCTTTCTTGCAGATGTTTGGAAACTGGACGTTTGGCACTTTAGTATTCACTGTGATGGTTATTACGGTTACGCTGAAGGTGAGTGCGTACTTAAATCCAACACGCGTGCTTTTTAAATGACACTTGAGCTTAATTTGCACCGTTGTCTCCACAGCTGGCCATAGAGACACATTTCTGGACGTGGATGAATCACTTTGTCACATGGGGCTCCATCGCCTTCTACTTCATCTTCTCCTTGTTTTATGGCGGCATCATCTGGTACTGTATTGCATGTGTTTTCCCATAGAGAAATTACATTTGAACTTTGACTGAACTTTAAAGAAATCATGCTTTCCCACCACCAATCCATAGGCATTATGGGTCTGTTTTAGAGGAATGTGGTTTTCGCATTATTCAGATTAGTGGTCAAAAAATATTAGTTTTTCAATGGCACTTTCATATCCTTAATATATGGTTACAGCCTTAGAAAATTTTTGTGAGTTTTCAAAATGTATATACTTGGATGAGTAAATTATAATTTTTAATCAAATATATAATAGTCAATTTAATAAAAATAATGGTGACATCTTTGCAATATTTCCTTCAAATGAATTTGCAAATAAATAAAACAAATATATATAAGTGGTAGTGTGCACTACACAAATCCCCTCAATATTCTGCTTTTTTTTTTTTTTTTGCATTTTATGTATTCATTTTAGAAGATGTAATTTACATTGTAAATTGATTACATTTTTAAAAATTTATTTAATTTTAAAAACATGAGACGCAGCACTGTACTGTGGGAAAAGAGCGCAAGGTCTTGAGATGCTTTTTTTTTTTTTTTTTAAGTTGAACTATGTGTAACTTGACACGCCATTTAAAAAAATCGTGCCATTAATGCATGAGATTTTGACATTTTTGTAGTCATACTCTAAAGTCTTGCATCTGCTGGTAGTAAGGGGTTTTATTTTTTCTTCAAATCCTTGCCCAGTAATCAAGAATGACACAAGTCACTGTTTAAAATGAGTGTGATAAATTGTAAAAATGCATGTTTTTCTCCGTCCTGTGTGAGAAAGTGGAAGTCATTGAACAATACCTGAATTGGTTATTTTCCTTTCTAAATAGTTTGCATTGAATTGTTGATTTGCTGGTGATAACAGTTTGCTCTTTCTGGTCTCACATGTCCAGTAGTGACGTCCTCTGGAATACAGTCAAGATGCTGTGCTCAATATTTGGCTCTGGCTCTGAAACAGTTGCTCATTAGTTAGATATTTGACAGCATTAGCAACTAATTGCAGTCTAATTGAAGTTTTCCCCTCCGTTAGGCCATTTCTTCACACGCAGGACATGTACTTCGTCTTTGTTCAGCTGCTGTCCAGCGGCTCGGCCTGGTTTGCCATCATCATCATCGTCATCACCTGCCTGTTTCCAGACGTCATCAAGAAGGTCTTCTACAGGCACCTGCAGCCGACCAGCACGCAGAAATCTCAGGTGAGCGTCAGATTTCCACCACAAACGCTCGAGCTCTGATTGAGATGGAGTGAGAGTTTGTGTCACGTGTGGAGTTGTGCTGGATTTATGCTTTCAAAGATGACACTGGTGAAGTAATACAGCATGTGGCTCACGTCTCACCAGCAGCTCACCTTCACTTAAACTCACTCAGAGGTATCATCACTACAGCACCAGCATTCATCGCAATATTAAAAATCTACTGCAGCGGACACTTATTACATCTGGAAATGCAGTGCATCTTGTCTGGTTGAATTATGAGAATAGATAATGGCAGGTTGTAGCTTCATGATGGCTTGCTTATCTTAATGGTTTATTTGTGTGAACATTTTGAAAATAGTCCTGACTGGCAGGGTGTTAAAAGTTCCCCATTTAAGTGACATCATAATTTCTTCATAACATCATAATCATAATAACTTTTCAGTAGTCTACACCAATTCCACTGATATTTCATGATTCTCTAATTCTTCAATAGAGCACCTTTATTTAAAAAGTTAAAGATTCACATAGTTCAGGGATGGGCAACTTTGATAGTGACGAGGGCCAGCATTTTTTCTCCTTTATACCAAGGGGCCAGATTACTCATCCACGTCCACACACCTTTTACACCGTCTTACTCAATTTCCTTTTTATTGAAGGAAATTAAAGTATAACTAATGTCATTTGTTTTTAAAGATTTTATTAAGTATAAAACTTGTACAGTTATGCTAATTCAGATGGAAAACTTTGTTGTGAGTGGACAGAAATATTACCCTGACAAGCCAATGTAAACATTTCAATTGCATTGTCTGTAAATTTGCAACAAACAAATATACAGAGGTCCTTTTTTTTATTAGTAGCCTACAGAACATTCTCAAAACAACCTAAAAGGACAGTTAAAAAGGGCTTAATTAAAAAAAAATTGTTATTCCAAATGGTACTATAAAATAACCTGGTATCTGCAGGATTTTTAAAATCAAATTTAAGACCTTTAAAGACCTTTTTAAGATCTGCACTTCACATTTCAGCCTTTAAACAATTTTTAAGAAAAGGGATGAGTCAAAAGTATCAATTATTATATTAATTTAAACAATTATTATCAATTAATTATTATATTAAATAACATTATAAAAATCTAAACAATTAAGACACTAAGATATATTTATAATGCATTAGCTTTTTGTCGATCCACTGGTTCACGTTTAAAAATATGTAGCAAAAATAGAAGCTGGGCTTATTGAAAAAGCCAAAAATAGCAGATGGGCTTATTGAAAAAGCAAATTCGTTCTCTGCCAGCAGGTGTCACTTTCGGAACAGCTCATATAGTGGTTTCCCCGGTAACCGCAGTACACAAAGCTGACGTGCAGCGCTCAACTTTATTCAGTGAAATCTTAGCCTTTTGAAGTTTAATCGTCATATTAATCCATATAGCAATTCTTGTCTTTACGTCCCCAAACACCTCTTATAATTTAAACTTTTTGTACCATTTCCATGGCCTTAAATGTAAACAATTTAACTGAAGACGTTTTAAGGACCCGCGGAAACCCTAATAAGAACATA